GCAGGAGGATCACTTCAGGCCAGGAGTTCAAGCTGCAGTGAACCACCACCACCACCACCACAACAACAACAACCAAACAGAAACCTACTGTGTCTGCCAAGATCAAATCTGCCTCCTCAATTGTAATCCAAAGCAGCCCCTTGCCTGGGACCAAAACTAGTCTCGCTGACATCTAGACAAACAGGTGGGAACAGCTTTAGTGCCCCGATCTAAATATTAACTCGCAAATGGCTTTTAATCAGAACCAATTCTTTAGGGGGACTCTTACTGTTTTTACTTTTTTAAGTGACACAGTGTTGCTCTGTCACCCATGCTGGGACGTGGTGCACTGTCATAGCTTAGTGTAGCCTGGACCTCCTGGCCTCAAGCGATCCTCCCAGCTCAGCCTCCTGAGCAATTGGGACTCCAGGAACACGGCACATGCCCACCTAATATATTTTTCACTTTATTTTCAAGAATGCGTGTCTGGCTATGTTGCCCACTCTGGTGTCAAACTCTTGACCTCAGGTGATCCACCCATCTCAGCCTCCTGAGTAGTTGGGACTCAGGCAATATGCCCATATCAAGCTAGTTTATTTTTTACATTTTACTTTTTATATTGTTAAAATATTTTTGAAGCCAAATGGTCATGAGCAGCACAAGGGCACAGATAACCAGGCCTGCACACATTTGTGTTTCTCCACAATTGGAACAAAATGGTAACTATTTGTTTCTCTAAACATAGGTAATGTAGAAAAGCATAGTTAAGACATGGTGTGAAAGACTAAAATGTTACACATATTTAGGACACTATGATATGATGATGCATACATATTTGTTTTTGTCCCTGGTTCCTGGCTTATAACTCCCATAGCCCTTCTACAGTCTTTTGTTATAATGTTGGGGGATTTGGGCCCCAGAAGTAGGACTCTGAAAACAGAAATTTCACTTTGACCCTCTCCCGTCCTCCTTTCACTTGCTGGAGAGAGCACTCTAATCTGCTTGTGGGTCACAAGACCCTCATTCCAGAGAGGGTCCTGCCCCATTCCTAGGCAGAAGGAAAGCTGCGCAACGAGGCCAAGAGGAATCTTTCACAGGGTTTGCTGGGTTTCCCACTCAGTCTAATAGTGTTAGGTCATATCCTTTTTGTCCGATCACATTTCTACGTGGTTGTCAATCATTCCTATCCAATGAAGTCTCCCTAAAAGGCTCAAAAGGACAGGGTTCAGGGAGCTCCCAGACAGTTGGACAGCTGGAGGCTCACAGGGAGGTCAGCCAGAACTCACCCACCCACATGCCAGGAGGGTGGTGCTCCAGCGCCGCAGAGACAGAAGCTTCAGCGCTGGAACCTTTCCAGACCTCAGCCTCTGTACCCTTCATCTGGCAGTTTATTGGCATCATATAAAATGTCCTTTGTAATAAGTCATCAGGGGCACGTGTTTCCCTTAGTCTGTGAGCTGCTCTTGCAAATGAATGAAAATTACTTAAAATTAACAAGAAGTAATGAGAATAGGAAAAACAAAGTATCAAAAAAATGCCAGTGAAAACTAAAACAATGCACAATATATACCTTGGAGATTACAAGTAGTGAAGACAAAGAGCAACACAGAATGTATAAACAGGCCTCACTGCTGAGTTATAGAAAGCCTGTGTGTGCATTAGGAGGAAAATTATTCTTCCCAGCTCTGAGTTTTGAGAGGAGTTTGTTAAGAAGGTCTTTGAGGTAATTCTATGATGTCATCATCTAATGTAGTTTAATGAAAATTGCAGGGTCGTCCACATTGGGCTAACTTCTGCTTTTACCTTTGCGACTGTTGGGGCTCAGAAACTGATGTCCCTGTGACACTTTGACAGGCTGAACTGAAGAAGCCTCCAGGTCTCTCTGACCTCACCCTCCCCACTGTCTCCCCCAGAGGAGTGGAAGTTTCTGCATCTGCCTAAGACCCAGACCCGCCAAGGAGAATAATTGTTCCTTTTCTTCCCCTCCCCAAGAGACTGGGAGTCTCAGCACATCTGCCCAGACTCATTTAGAAGATGATGTTCTGCCCCTCAGCCTCACTCAGATTCCACAGAGAGCCCCCTGGGGGTCACTTTCTCTTCCCCAGCCAATCACTCTCCCTGGCAATCACTCATTGCCCTCAACAGAATCCTCTTCTCCCATCCCATAGCCTGTTCTTCCAGGGTCCAGGCCCCGCCCTTTCTGTCCCTCAAGGTGGTGCAGAAGTGTCTCTGCCTCCCTGGGTGGGGTCTCCGTCCTGAGGAGACTGTGCTCGCACATCCGCGTGCGCACTGAGACACGTGTGTCCCTTGTCTCCTGGTGCTCAGTCTGCCTCCCGCAGTGCTGCTCCGTGACCTCCCAGGGCCCAGGCCTCCCAGTGCAGAGCCTCGTGTGACGCCAGGAGTTCAGCTCTCCGCATAGAAGCCTCTGGGGTGGGGACAGGATCTGGATTCCGAGCCCAGGATTCGCTGCCTCTGTGCTCTGCATTCCCACTGCCTGTCTGGCAGTCCCAGCGGGCAGGCCTGGTTCCTCCCGAGGGTGCTGAGGGAAGGGTCTCTCAGGCCCCTTCCTTGGCTAGTGGGTGGCCGTCTCCTCCCTGTGTCCCATCACATGCCATCCCCTCCCCTTCCTCCAGTGCACGTCTGCATCCTTTGTAATAAGGACCCCAGTCCTTATCAAGGACTAGGACCACCCTAGTGGCCTCATCATAACTGAGCACATCTGGGGTGACCCTATTTCCAAATAAGGTCCCATTCTGAGACATAGGGGTTAGGACTTCAACATAGGCACTGTGGGCGGATACAGTTCAACACATATCAAGGACCCACAGGGGAAATTCTGGTCTTTCAGTAGGAGTAGTGTTCTCAGAGCAGTCAGTTTGCTTTCAAAACTTGTAAACACTGGCACTCATGTGACTGGCGTGCTCTGTGTGCACATGGGCTGGGTGACGCTGAGAGCCCAGGGTGGCTCCCCCTGGCAAGTAGGTGGGGTCCCATGCTGGGCAGTTTTGGGCTTTAATTCTTGCGGGTGGCTGTCTATCCACCTTCTCACCTTGTTCTCATTGTTGACTGGCAGCGTTTATGTACAACCCGACAAACCACTTACATTTCCTTTTCAGAATGGTAAGCTGTGCAGCTGAACAAAGAAGCTCTTTCCTGCTTCTCGGGCTCAACTTTTACTTCTTCCTTTCTCTTGTTTTCCTGTGGGAGGGGGTGCAGGCTGTCCGCCGTGAGCAGCCAGGCTGGGCCTGCGGGGTTGGGGGTCTGGGGAAAGGGGGTGACGGCAACCTGGAGCGGGGGCGGGGAAGCGGAGCTGCCCTGTGTGGAGGGTGGGCTGGTCAGCCGCGGAAGCTTCAGGAAAGACCTGCTCAGGGCTTCCTGCCAAGTGTCCTTCATGGCTGCCTCCCGCCTGGTGGGGAGCAGGTGAGGGGGGACGTGAGAAGAAACCTGCAGCGGGTCCATCCTGACACGCAGCTCGGGTGGGCAGCCACGCACCTGGCAAGTGTCCTCTCCCGGAGGGGCTGGGGCCTGGCCAAGCAGTGTCCCGCTGCATGGGGACTCAGGGGTCGCTGGCTAGGCTGTCCTCACCCAGGAGTTGGGCAGCAGGACACAAGGTGGCTCCATCAGGCCTGGGCAGCATGACACAAGGCTCCACGTCAGCAGGGAGATGCCGACAGCAGGGACGGAGCTGAGCAGCTGGAGCAGCTGCGGTCTGGGGGCAGGAGCTGGTCCTTGTCGAATGAGAGGGTGACGAGGACAAAAGAGCAGCTGGGGGGTGAGACAGCTGCTGCTGCGTCACCCTGCCCCAGAGCACTCCAGGCACAGGCCTGCATGTCCCAAGGCCTGAGGTGCCAAAGGCCAGTCTCTCTGGGATCTGAGGGGGCCTGGCCGCTGGAGGGGCGGCAGGGAGAGGAGCGCAGCTGCGATGACTGCCGTAGGACAACGGACCGAGGCCTCCACGTTGGGCTGGGGTGGGGCTGCGGCACCCCTCTCCTCTCTGACCACGCTTCCCCGTGTCCCCAGAGCTGGGTGGCCCTGGGAGACAGGTCTGGCCTTTGCCCTGGAGCATCTCTGAAGGAGCAGCACCTCCACTTCAGTGGCACCTGTTGCTGGGACTGTCTACCTCCTTTCAGGCCCAGACCGCAGGCCTCAGATCTGTTGGCTTCTGGGGAAAGGGCTCCATCCTCCTCACGTGTCATGGAGCGCCCAGGCCTGTCGGGGGCTCAGTAGATGCTCAGTGACCGTCTGCGCAGCTGCCCCGAGTGTGCTGAGGGGACACCGTGTTCTCCGTTCTCGCTCTGCACAGTGGGTGAGGATGAGCATGGCCTGCAGGAAGGACACAGAATGGAGGTGACACCCATGTCCTCAGGTGCCACTGAGTCTGGGCCCGTGTCCCGAGCCATTCACCCCTGTGGAGAAGGCCAGGGTCCCTCCGGCTGCTTCTCCCCCTCCTGCTGAGGAAGGAGCCTCTGGCTCACGGCCTCCATGGCTCCTCAGACCCAGCCTGGTCCCCGTCGCCCCCCTGGCAGGCTGGGCCCTGGGAGGCCTGTCCTGGGAGCGAGGCCCAGGTTTCCGCCGGGCACTGAGGAGCAGCCGCCCCGCACCGAGGCCTGGGCTGGTCCCTGCGCCGGCCGGTGCTGGTGGGGCATGGGGGGACGGGCAGAAGTGCCCGCCCTGCCACTCTCAGGGGGCTTCTTCTCTGCGTTTCCGTTTGCACGCAGTGCTGTGACACATGGCAGCCCTGACAGGTCTCAGATTTAAACATATTTGGTTTTATTCATTTAAGGCTTTTGTTTTCTGTTGAAGGAAGGTATTTCCCCTATTTTCCTCTTCTCCAAGCCTAAGAGCAGCAGAGAGAATCTTTAGCTGAGTCCTGCTCTCCCTTTGGGTATGTGTCACGCCCCCTCCCCAGATACCCCCGTCCCCAGACTGGCAGAATCGTCACCCTGAGAGTCCCCACCCAGGGAACACACGCTTTCCCTAGGTCGCCAAACCCTCCTAGCAGCCGGATCAGAGGCTGAGTCCGGCTACGGGAAGGAGCTGCCTCCTGTGGGTGTTCCCTGGCACTGCTGGAGCCGCAGGACACTGGGGGCGACCCGGGCCCCTGGTTAGAGGAGACCTGACATGAGATGTAGTCCTCCTGCTCGGGCTGGTTCGTCGCAGTCACTGTCCTCGTGCCCTCAGCGTCTTAGGCTGCAGCGCCCCAGTGCGCAGGCGCGTTCGAGTCCCGTCTGTGAAACGCTGTCTCTTCCTTGAGCAGGTTTCGACTGGGGTTGGACACACTCCCAGCGGGCCACCTTGTGCACGGAGTACACAGGAGTCCCTTGGGCAAGGACTTCCCGATTGTCCCCCTAGGCTCTCGGCAGCTGAAGAGCTGCAGGGTGTCTTGGCCCAGGTGGCATCCGCTCCGTTCCCTGTGTCTTTGTCTTCCTTGTCCAGGCCCAGAAAGGCGCTGGGCGTGGGGCCGGCTGCGCAGCCCTCTCGGCCTGAGCGGTCGGTCACTGGAAGGAAAGGGAGAGGCGGGTGGGCTGGGCCGGCAGGTCTGGGCGGTCGCTTGTGTGTCGCTTGGCAGCACCGAGTCTTCTCTGCTTCCCTTCCCCTGCCTCGTAGAGCCTGCGTGTGAACAAAGTCAGGCAGGGCCTGGGTGCCGCGCAGCTTGTCCACGCTGCTGTGTGCAGACGCGGAGAAGCCACATGCAGCCACGCGCCCCCGGTGCAGCCGGAGGACATCTGGAGACACTGGGGACAGGGCTGGATGTGACCAAGGATCTGGGGCCACGTGGGCCAGGGACACGGGAAATAAAGACCACCTGCGTCTCGAAAGGGAGGAACGGCAGAGCAGACCCCGGTTTCCTCCAGGGGACCCTCTCCTTAGGAAAGGAGTTCCTGCCTTCGGGGTCAGTGTCTAGTCCTGTCCCTGCCTTGGAGACGATTTCATAGGCCCTTTATGGAGAACATGAGGTCACATCCCAGAGTTTCCTGATGGGACCACAGTGAGCAACACGTGGAAGAGTTGTGTCACCCCAACCCCTGGAAATGGTTTCAACATGACAAAGTGACTCTTGGCCCCATGGACAGCCGCCGTCCTCTGTGCTCTGCTCCCTGTGCCTGTGCCAGCTTCAGAGAAGAAGAATGAAGCTGAGGGGAGACGCCAGAGGAGGCAGGAGAAGCAGGCTGCCTGCCCCTTCTACAACCATGAGCACAGGGACAAGAGCCTGGCAGAGGGGAAGTCCCTGGGCAGCTGGTGGCCCTTGGGAAGAGGCCTAGGCCTGTCCCTGTTCCGGTGGCTGGGTTGCCATTCTGGCAGCCCGGGTGAGGACTCTGGAGGTTTGGGGAGTAGCCCTTGGTTCTAACTGAGACCTGGCCCATGGGGGATTCTTCCTGAAGTTATAATTTGGGAGGAGGTCACCCGCAGTGGTTAGACTGGCAGCCACACCACAGGCAAATGGCACCAACTCCATTCTCCCCTAGTGCATGGGTTGGAGGAAGCCTTGGATCCTTGGTGGCTCTGGGTTGCGGGGCCAATTGTCATTGGGGACAGCAGATAGGAGCCAGGAAAGAGTGTGCATTCGTCATGAAGCCTCAGTCACAGGAGGGCAGAAACTGAGAAGAGAGCAGCAAGTGTGCCACAGAGCACGACTACGTTTCCAAATGGCTTTTCAGCTGCCACCCCTACCTGCGGCACAGCACAATACTGTCTTCTTTGACCTCCCATGGCTTTTGCCTGGCCACACTTTGGGGGGTCCAGGAATCTGTAGCTGGGGGCTGCTGGTGGGCTCAGGTCTGAAACCCCTGGTGTGTCATGGCCCGAGGTCGCAGGTCCTTGGGGAGACTCCTACAGATGTAGGATGGAGGATTCCGTTCTGGGGCGAGTGATGTCCCAAGGGGCAGGAGAGCGAGGCAGGGCCCAGGTGTGCTGCTGGGAGTCAGGGTCGCTGCTGTGGCGGTGACTGAGAAAGGCTCGTATCAGAGATGCAGGAGGATTTATGGGTGAAATGTGTGATATCTTGAACTTGTTTTAAAATCCTCTGTCCAAAAACATGGAAGAGATAGATGACATAATACTGATAAAAATACTAATAAAAATGGTTAGGGCTTGGTCATGGCTTCAGGGAGTTTGTTACACTGTTGATTCTATTTTTGTGTACATTTGAAAATAATGAACAATGAAAAATTAACCAGAAATTTAAAAAAAACTGCTGCCTCTCCTGCTGCCTGCTGCCCTCTCAGCATTCCTGTCACTGCACTGGGGCGTTTCTCTTTCCCTGGGAACATCACTGGGGTGTCACCATCTCTGTGTTCCCAGCACCAAGCCTGGGGGCTGGCACAGTGTTAAGTGCTCAGTAACTCAGTGAATTTGGTAAAAAAAAGGTGGATAGATGTGTCAAGTGTCGGCGTCCCTCCTGGCCACCATGACCAAGAGCTCCAGGGTCGGAGCTGCCCAACCCGAGCAGGGCCTGGTGGGCTGTGCTGATGGGGCATGGTGCATTACATGGGCAGATCTGAACCCCGGGACCTTCCGCCAGGGGACAGTGTGTGTGCTGGGTGCTCACCTGCTCTCAGCCCTCCCCTCCTGCCCAAGGTCTCGCTCCTCTTAGGTTGCTGTGCTCTCACTTTTCTCAGCATCTAAACCTCTTAGGAAAGGACTAGGAAGGTGTGAGTGACCAGTCACACTTAACCACACCCCTGGACGTTTTGCATTTAAATAAGGGACAAGGCCTATGTTAAGGCAATGGGCCTAACTGGTGGCACTGTAGACTCTGATTAGCAGTCAGAGAAGTGTGGGGAGTGAGAAAGTGTCCCTGGCCCTGAAGTTATGTCCGTTCTCCACCGTACACTCCACTTGCACATTGTGTACTTCCTGAACCAGAACCAGAGAGGTGGCTGAGATGAACAACTAAGGCAAGAGCACCATCCTCACTCCCGTGTTCTCCAGGGATCGTGGGTGCAGAGGGGGGCAGGTAGAAAGGCCATGCTTCAGCCCTCGATTCAGCACTTCAACTCAATTTCTGCTCCATTCAACCCAGCAGAGGTTGCAGCTGGAGTGACTGTCCTGACCCTGGCTGTGCCCTCAGCTCCCTCCCTGCAGGGTATGAGGGTCCCCCTGACCCCCGCAACCCACCAGCACAGGGACCCTCTTAGCCCAGGAGACCCTGTGAACAGAGCCCTAATCCCCAGGGACAATCCCAGGAAAGACAGGGCATTCTCAGTGCTTGTCTTCAGCTCCTCCAGCCCTGCCGTCCAGTGCCCTTCCCTCCCCAGACCCAGGGTGTCACGAGGTCTCTTCCCCACGCAGCCCTTCTCTGCAGAGACAGCAGCAAACATGCAGATGGAAGTGTCAGTGGCCAGTGAGAAGAGAAGCAGATCCAAGGCAGAGCGCAAAGTCCCACCTGGGAACAAGGGCAAGCCGCCTGGCAAAGGCAGGGCAGGGGGCGTTTGCAGGAGACAGCCTGGCCAGGTGCAGGGGCTGCAGATGGGACACAGCTGAGGGCCCACCAGCCACTGATGCGACCACTGGCAGGGGCCACCTGGGGGCCTCTTCATGGTGGGTGCAGCAGGTGGCCACAAAGCCATGTGAGGAGGACAGCTGGGGGCATCGTCCGGGGGAGGGGAGCTAACACACAATCCAGACATCGCTCTTTCACCAGCAGCACAGACGCCCCCACCATATGGACTCGCTGCTCCCCCTCGATCCTGTTGACCTCACCAGGACCTGCCACCCATCCACCTCCTGTCTCCTTGTTCTTTCAAGTCCTGGCCCCAGAGCCTGACCCCTAGACCACTCTCATTCCCACACGGCACACGGCCCCAGCCCCTTTTCTGTGTGTCCTGTGCTCAGGATCACACTGATGATGGATGAAGCCAACCGTTCGCCTTTTCTGTGCCCATCCTGAGCTACTGAACACTACTGGGGGAAAAATAAACCATGGGGCTGGCTGGCACCCACATAAGTTAATGCCCACAGCCTCAACTGAAGCCTCAATGCTGAGCACTTTTTAATGCAACATTCGACTAGAAGCAAGAAAAGCAAGTTTCTAAGTATTAGGAAATTATCTACAAATGTTTAAGGAAGGAAACTTGAAGCCAGAACAGTGATTGGCTATGAAGAACCGTGACGATTCGAGAGCGTGACTGATGCCTAAAGGCCTACGACGCTGTGTGACAGGTGGACTGGGCGGTGAGGTCTCAGCTCTCGGCATGGAGACGCTGGAATCTGCTCCCTCATAAGCGGGGGCTGCAGAGCCCCTCCCACCGTAACCTCCAACCCCGTGACACAGAAGAGGAATGTTGGGCCCAGCCCAGGACACAGCTCAGAGGAAGGCCACTTGCCCTGGGCACCGGCAGGAAATCGCAGCCACGTGTCTGCACTGAGTTGGTGCCGACGCTCTGAGCTGCGAAGACAACATTACAGCCCATCAGGAACTGATAGAATCTGCCAGGGCCCAGCAAGCCAAACGGGAAACTGTCCCTCTGCAGACACCTTCCCCAGGCAGGGTCACTGGGATCCTCATGGAAAACCGTCTCCTACTGGACAGGAGCTCAGAGGAAAACCTTCCAGGGATCCAACCAAAGTGAGCCAGCAGACACAAAAAACAGGAAGGTTCTGGTGTCAGGAAGCAGAGATGACCGAGCAATCGAGAGCGGTATTAAATGAGTGCATGCAGAATGTTCAAGAAAGATGAAGGAGGAATAAACCAGCAAGAACAGCTCGTGATGACAGGGCTTTAAAACGGCCAAAGCAAAGTTCTAAAATGCGTTGAATAGAAATGAAGCACAAGACAAATCTGAAGAGGAAAAGGGGAGTAACTCCAAGGACAGACCTGAGCCATGGACAGGACAGCGACATTCGAGGAGCAGGCGAGAAGCTTCCACGAGGGAGCTCAGGCTCTAGCCTCTGTGGTCAGAGGTGGAAGGAAAGACACCAAGCGCTCTCTCTCTCAATCTCTCTCTCTGACTCTCTCACACGCACACACGCACGCACACGCCTGTACCTGCAGGCTGAGCTGGCCGATTATCGTGGCCACACAGCGAGCCCCAGTGGCGGAACCCAGTAGCCGTCTGCTGCGGGGAGTCAGGGGTCTGCGCTTCCCGGAGGGTCCTGACAGGCAGGCGGAGCAGGGTGGACACCGCCTCTGGCTGGGGCACACGCGTTCCTGGTCTGTACACGGGTGGTTAGAACAGATCCCACGCTCAGGGACCAGGGCAGTCTTCACTCAGCTCTGGAGTCCCTCAAAGTGTCTGAGATGTGCATGCCGGGTGTCCCCTACAGGTGAGATTCCTTCAGTCCCACAGTGACTACTTCTCACCTCCCAAACACCGCCCCCACTGCCTCACCCCTCAGCTCGCCTAGCATCTCGCCTCCTGCTGAAGACATGACCACCCGCAGGACAGCTGGGAGGATGTCAGCCTGTCCCCACGCGCCCTCTGTTTCTGCCCTTTGCTCTGAAGATGCTGGCAGAGAGGGCCTGCCTTTGTTTCCCTCCTCACTGAAGTCAAGTCTGCAGTCTGGCCGGGCTCCCATGCCCGCCCTCTTCTCACTGACCCCGCCCCCTTTCCCTGCGTCTCCTGCTGCTCCCAGCTCTCCCCTGGGACTCCCAGAGCTCGCAGCATCCCTGCCCTCCAGCACGCCCTCCGTGGCCCTCGCTCTTCCCATCCAGCTCCCCCACGATGCCCACGCCAGCTGTCTGCCCTCCTCACATGGCTTTGTGGCCACCTGCTGCACCCACCCTGAAGAGGCCCCCAGGTGGCCCCTGTCAGTGGTTGCATCGGTGGCTGGTGGGCCCTCAACTGTGTCCCACATGTAGCCTCTGCGCCCGGCCAGGCTGTCTCCTGCAAACGCCCCCAATCCCGCTTTTGCCAGGTGGCTTCTCCTTGTTCCAGGTGGGACTTTACGCTCTGCCTTGGATCTACTTCTCTTCTCACTGGGCAGCCACCATGCACACCTGAGGGGGCAGTCACAGGGGAAACCTCACTGGCCACTGACAGGCTCAGGATGTCTTCGGGACCAGGGGGAGTGCAGGAGAGTGGAGGGCAGGAGGGCAAGGACCATTCAAGGCCACCTCAGTGGGCGGGTTATCTCATGGCTGCTGAGGTTCCCTGGGTAACAGTGGGCCGTGGGCCAGCGGCAGCGCCAGCAGGTGCCCGAGTCTCAGTGGGTGGGAGCGAGGGCTGGTGTTGGGGAGAAGGGGAGAGGGTGCACAGCTGAGAGGCAGGCCTCTTCCTCAAGTACCCGACAGGGCACAGGGCCCAAGGGCTTGGGTGCGTCAAGCCTTTCAGGGTGCCAGAGCCAGCCCAGCTGGGCGTCTGCTCTGCCCGGCAGGAGGCTGCAGGTTCCCTGGGAGGCGCGTGGGCTGGAACCGTGAGCACTGGGGGCGTAGGGTGGTGCAGGTGCCCCTCCCAGTACTCTCCTGCCTCTCTGTGTTTTAAACAAACATCTCCAGGCTCCCGAAAGGGGACAATAGCTCCAACAGTTGGAAAGTGACAACAAACGGGTATGAAACAGCTATGTATTAGAACAGAGTCTCCCTCCTTTGGATTCTGTGATTCTGCAAACATTGACGTTTTAAAAAAAATTTTAGCATCAGCCTAATAATCACAGCAGGGGATAATCGTCTGTCACACTGCTTCCCCGTCATCTCAGCCCCAGGCCTCAAGAAGGCTCTGGGGCACCGAGGCAGGAAGACCCCTGGGGATGGGGTGCAGGAGACGCCCCTCAGGCCCTGTGCCCGCTGCCCCCTGCCCCGCGTGCACCTCTGCAGACTCGGCCCCTACTGGTCTCTGAGACAGCCTGAGCCCCGCCCCTCCCCTCAGGGCCTCTGGACTATCTGGTGAGCACCCCTGATCCCAAGACCCCTTCCTAGAGTGCCAGGCCGACCCAGGGGAGCAGGGAAACAGAGAGGGAAGGGTCAGGATTTTTGGTTCAAATAACTGGATCTTTGGATTGAGATTGGCAGATGCCCTTTGGGCAGGAGGTGATGAACTGATGCTCATTCTGGCCAGAATGTTTCTTGAACCCCCAAATCTCCACAGGGCCACCACCCCTAGAACCACAAGCATACCTCTGTCTGCCCTGGCTCCTCGCTCGTCCGAGGAGGTGACGGGTCTCCAAGGTCTCTTCAAGATCCCGCAGCGTGGCCTGAGCCCCTGGGCCCTGGCCCAGCTGGAGTCAGATGCCTGCAGCCCATCAGGCAGGAGCGGCCACCTAGGAGCCACCTGGGGGCTGGGAGGGGTCTCTGCATAATCTCATGTCCTCCTCACGGCCACTGTGGTCTCTGCAGAGGTGAGGGGACCTGCCTGTGGCTGCCCAGCTCACCCATATGATGGAGTCCAGCAGGAACTGGGCTTTTCTGTCTCCAAAACCTGTTGGGGTCTTTCCGCAAGGCCCGTGGTCGTCTAAACCACGCCACGAGGAGAGGGGCCCCTGCCAGTGTCACTGATAAAGGCTGGCGTGCACTGAATCATGTCCTCCCACAATTCAAATATTAAAGTCCTAACCCCCAGGACCTCAGAGTGTAGCTGTACTGTAGCTGGAGACAGGGTCTTTAAAGAGGTGATAGAGTTAAAGGAAGTCATTAGGGTGAGCCCTAATCCCGTGTGGCTGCCATAGGAGGAGGTATTAGGACACAGACATGGAGAGAGAACGGTGAGAGGACACAGTTAGAATGTGGCCATCTACAAGCCATACCTCTGTGAGACTCAGAGGAAACTGGCATGGTCCACACCTTGATCTTGGACTTCTAGCTCACAGCATTGTGATAAAACGTTCACAATTCTTCTTGAGCCACCCGGTCTGTGGAACTTTGTCATGGCAGCCTTGCAGATGACTACAATGTCTGCTGCTAAAAGCCCAGAGCCCTGTTTCCTGCACCCAAGGGATGGGACTTCCTCATCCCCTCTGCCCTAGCCCAGCCCTGTTCTCCCAGCTGGCACATACCCAGGTGCAGGGCCGGTGCTGGGGCAGAGAGACAGTCACAGAGGGGCTCCCTCATGCCCACATGGCCCAGCCTCGTGTGGACAGCAGGAGGTGGGCGTAAGGTGCCACTCTGGCAGACAGTGGGTACAGGCTCTTTAACATGTTGAAGACAACTTGGGAGGTGCCTGCTCAGCCCATGGCCACACCCAGGCTGGGCCAGACAGCAGAGTGCATGCTATGACCTGGGTGGTCAGACCAGGCATGGACACCTTGACGCAGGTGGTGATCAGAGTCCCCCAGCGACGTGGCCCTGGGGAACAGCCGCTCGACCTCTGCCAGCAGTCCGAGCAGAGGATGAGTAAGCAGAGACGGTGCAACAGCCCAGCACACAGAGAGGCAGAGGCAGGCTGGGCAGGGGGAAGATGCGGAGAGAAGGGAGGGGCACAGCCAAGACCATGTGGCCCAGGGGCGGCCCTGCCCTCCGGTTCGCTCTTGGGCCCTGCCCCTGCACAGCCCCCAGGTAGGGGCAGGCTGGGGTCTCCCATGTTTCTTAACCTTTGCCATATAAATTCCCCAGCTGATAGAAGTGAACGTAAACCCGAGCTGGGGGAATATTCCAAAGTTGTCTTTGACATTGTCACAAGGTTTGTGGTTCATCTAAAAAACTCACAATTTAGGAATGGAATTCTTGCTATTTAGGGATATTTTTCATATGCTCCAGAGGTACTCCTCCTCCTCCAGGGTTGGGCCAAAGTACTACATCCAGAAGGCCCCCAAGGCTGCCCGAGTCACCCAGTGTCTGTCCTGCATGGGCCTGTCAGGGTCAGTCAGTCCTGGTGGCTCTCGTAAGGCTGTGTCTCCCAGCCGGTCACCACCCAGCCACCCGTGTGGTGTCCAGCAATTGCAGGTGGCCTCTCTAACCCCTGACCTCTGCCCTTCCCATCTCCCATCCCAATCCCCTCATTCAGAGACACTGAGCATCACCTCTCAGGAGCGTCAGTCTTGACACAGAGGGAAGAGAGGTTGACTTCAGGCCACAGTTCCCCACTGTGTCTTAGTCTGGGCTGCTATAAACAAACGACCAGAAACTAGGTAGCTTATGAAGAAAAGGGATTTATCCCTCACACTTCTGGAGGCTGGAAAATCCATGATCAAGGCAGAAATGTGCATTCTTATAGTCCTGATCTAAAATTAGGAATCAAAATTTCTCACCATGTTTCCTCGTACATTTCTGCTTCGGGCAGCTCTGATGTGAGCCTTGTTTTCTAAAAGTATCCTGCTCCCCCAAGGAGGGGGCAGGGACAAAAGGCAGCTCACCTGCAAGTCAGCCATGACTGAGGGCTGTGCCCGTTTGCTCTTGGCTGGAGCGAGGAGTCCCCTGACTGATACCAAGCCGGGGGACCAGGTCAGCTGGAATGGAGGAGGCTGGGAGAGAGGAGCCGGGAGCGGAGGGCCACCGGAATTCCCTCTTCCAGCCTCCTCCTGTCACTGTTCACCACAGGGAGTCTGACAGGGTCTCCATGGGTGGCAGAGTAAAGGGATCCTCCCCTCTGATGTCTCCAATCTCACCTTCTTAAGCTACAACATCCCCCCTTGAGGGATGAGGAAGCATGAGGAGCCCAAGCTCTGGTTCCTATTGGCCAAACACGAGGGCTCTCAACCCCCATTAATAAACAGAAACGGGGCTGCGCACAGTGGCTCATGTCTGCAATCTCAACACTTAGGGAGGCCAAGGTGGGAGGGTTGCTTGAGGCTAGGAGTTCAAGTCTAGCCTGGGCAACATAATTGAGACCCCATCTCTACAACAAAAATAGGAAAAAAAAAATAGCTGGGCATGGTGGCACACACCTGTAGTCCCAGCCACTCAGGAAGCTGAGGCAGGAGGATCACTTGAGCCAGAGTCTGAGGCTACAGTGAGCTATGATAATGCCACTGCACTCCAGCCTGGGCAACAGCCTGGACAACAGGTCTTGTACCCTGCTGCTAAAACAATAAAATAACAAGTAAACAGCTGTGTTGATTCTAGCCAGGATCACAGTGAGCTCCTTGTGGACTTGCACATCTGTTTTGCCCTGTTGGGTCCAGAGAGGCCGAGGCGGGCACCGCCATCTCCGCGCCTGCCGGTGGATGGCGCAGGCGCACAGGCCAGCTTCAGAAAGGCGCCAGAGCCTCTCAGGCCGGGCAGAGCTGGCGCCGCTCAGGACAGCCCACACGGTCCAGCTATGAGGAAAAGATGAGCTCTCTGCCCACACTCTGGTACTTTAACCCTCTGCTGCCCAGTGAAAGGTCTCACGGGCTTGTCTTGGCGTCCGGAGCACCGCGAACATTCACGCCTGACTGTGAAAGGCGCAGGGTCCCCCACCTTTGTAGCTGCCTGCGGCGCCCCGGGCACCACTGCACGTGACTGTGGGTGTCAGGCAGCTGGGCCAGGGCCAGAGAGCACCAGGGGCTGCCAGGGGACTGCCTATCCCACCCCACACCTGCAGGGGCCTGCGACCCGCCTCTCTGGAGCCTGCCCCGTGGGGCTGCAGGTGGGACAGCACCTGCCCTCCAGGCACCAGGCTCCCTTGCCATAGTCAGGTCCCGCAGTCAGGTGTGAATCTCCGAAGTTACAGAGCAGAGGCAGGCATTCTTTGTGAAACAAAAGCTGTATAGAAACCAAAACAAAATGAAAAAGTGACTGAGCTGGGCCTCACATTCCAGGAAGAACGTCAAGAAGTGTGCAGGGGTACTCGTTCTCGAGCCCCACGGCGGCTCTGGGAGTGAGTCTCCAGGCGGGGCAAAACCAAACAACTGAGCCCTCCCAGGGCTTGCAGCGGCCTCTTCCATTTCTGGGACTCTGCCCCAGCTGACGTCTCTGCGGTGCCTTGCGCGTGGCGCCCTGGGCCTGGGAAAGCCTCTGGTGACCTGCTCGGGAGGTGGATGTGCTTTGGGGCGGGCGAGTCCCAGGAACAGGCCCAGTTCCCATCCTGGCAGTGGGCGGGCCCCTGCTGTGACCCAAGCTGTGGCAGGACAGAGAAGGGAGCCAGGATGAGCAGCTCCCTGGGATGAATGCTTTGAAGGCCAACATCACACGACCTGGAGCAAGCCCCCACACCATGCCCACACACACATAGGCAAACCTTCGGTCAAACCTTTTTATTTTCTCTAAACATGAGGGACGGCGTAGTCATCACTGTCCAACCTAATGTGCCAATGCTGCCTGAAACCCAAAGCTGCTGTATTTGTAACTTGCACTTGCCTTTCAAACATTCCACTGAAAAGCATAAATAATACATTAAAAGAGATGAGGGTGTGGAGAGCTGTTCACTTTTAAGATGGATCAGGGACAACTGGGTGACCTTGGCCAAGTTCCCCTTAGGGTCCCCTCTTGTCATATCCAGACGTCCCCAGTTGTGTGCCTTTGGCCTGTGAGTGGGTCCCTGGGCAGTCACACAGGCACGGCGTGTGCACGTGGCAGGGGAGGACACTGCCCCTCCCGGTAACAGGGCTTCCTCTGTGGGGCCAACGGCTTAGGAGGGAGGTTGATGTTCTCTGGTGACATGGAGAGGATTCCTTTGAATCCTCCTGGGCTTGTGGACAGTGTGGAGTATCTGGAAAGAGAAGTCACATTTCCAAAAAGGGCCTCGCCTCCTTCTATGACACATTCAGAATTGGGGGAGCCAAAAAATGGAAACCAGAAAGGAGGAATTCAGAGAATGAGAAATTTAAGTATTTCTCTTTGCAAAATCTAGAGAAGGAGACACAGAATTGTATTCATACTTCAACGAATTTGGGGGCTTTTCTCTGGAGAAAATGTGATGATAAGACCCCGCATGTTTCAGCCCTTGGGACTCGACCCTGCCCTCCATCCACAGGACACCAGGCTGGCTGTCCCAGCAGGGGCGGTCTAAACACGTCTCACACGAGGAGCAGGCTCCCCAGGGACAGACTCTTCATCTGATCAGCAACAAATTCCAACTCCTCTGACAGTAAAGCAAGACTCAATGTATATGTCCAATTTGGCAGACAAAAGGCCTGTTAATCGTGTGTGTTTGGTGCCTTAGAGGCCAGGCTGTGAGGGCGGGAGGGACAAACAGGGTTTGCGGTATGCCTGGGAAGAGTGGCAGAGCATCGGCAGCATCGTGGGGGAAGGTCTCAAGCAGCTGGCTGGGAGTTGGTAGCGCCTGGGCGAGCAGGGGAGGGGACGGCACGCCTGGCTGGCTGAAGGGCAGATATTTGGGCTGCAGGGTAGACATTGGAAGTTGAAGCACCTCCCCTGTAGGGAAGAGAGGAGAGACAAGGTCACCGAGACGGCATTGGAATTGGGCCTGGAAGGCCGCGGTTGCCTGGCTCCAGGGGGTCGGGACCAGTCAGGGCTGATGAGGGGCCTTGCTGGTTCTCCTGCTCTCCCCTGGGTGCTGGCCTCCAGCCTCACTCCTCCTTCCAGACTCAAGTGAGGTACTAAATGTCCACCCTGCCTTCCCCAGGCTGCCCTGGGCACGCTGACTCTGGTGGCGTGTGCTTGGGGTTCACCTTGTCTGTGTGCCCCTGGGCTGGCAGCCTGGGGAGCAGGCAGCAGGAGGCCCGCTCCCTGTGGCCCAGCGCTGCCCAGAGGCTCTGGCGAGCGAGCGTGGGTGGCAGGGAGACTCGCCGCGCCCTCAGGCCTGGCTGCAGGGCTCTGGGCAGGGGGTGGGGCAGACTCGGCAGCAGCAGCTTTAGGAAGAGACTGGTCCAGACCCTGGGGACGGCAAAGTGTCTCTGCGGTTCCAACCGTTTTGCTTTCGTCTTGCGCACACAAAGCCAAGGTGGCCAGCACACCGTCTGGACAGCCGAGCCACACAGAGGCTGGCTTCCTCCGTGTCTGCCTGCAATGTCACTTTCTCTACTGGCTTCTTATGCCCACATGATTAGGGACAAGCCTGTCTGAAGGTTTGATTGTGGCCTTTAGAAAAGCCCTAAGTGTCACTCTAAGCACGGTCTAAGGGGCTGGGGTCCAATCCTGTCTCTGACATCAGGAAAATCACTCGGTCTCTTGGGAATGGTTTTTCCATCTTTAAAATGGGTGCCGCAACACCAAAGGCTGATCAGTCAGTCACTCCTTCCTGCTTTAATAATGGACACCTTATTTTGATTTTAGGGAGCAGGCAATGTGCTCTCAGGCGTAAACTGACATTTCCTAGTGTGCCCTGCTGAGCAAAGTGGCCCCAGAATAAATGATGGCAAATGGAATATGGATAGGAATTGTTGGCCAGTGACTTAGAGAGGGCTCCTTTGCCTTTGTCCAGCTCTTGCTGCCTGGAATATGGATGTGATGGCTGGAGTCCAGGAGCCACCTTGTAAGCATGAAAAAAATAGAGAGCCTGGCCTGTTCAAGAAGAATTGTCACGTCCCCTCCAGGTTGCTCTCTAGGGGCTTAGTATGCAGTCAGACAAAGTCTTTCTCAGAGCGCCCAAGCATTCTCATGTCCAAGTTCATGTCCCTGGAGTGCCTCTCCTTGTCGTGTTTGCCTAGTGAACCCTGTTCACCTTTTCCGTCTCAGCTCAAGCATGTTATCCTCCCTGAGGTCCATAACCCGTATTCCCAGCTAAAGTGACTGCCCTTCCGGGCCACTCTAGTCGTGCTGTGCCATTGTCACGCTTCTCCTCCAGCCCTGCTCCTGAGTCCGAGGCTCTATCTTTCCTCCTCTGTCCCTGAAGACTGTGCCCTGGGGGCTGGGGTGGCAGGGCTCCTGCCTCTGGCCTGTATGACCTGCAGGGACTCTAAGGAAAGGCGTGCCACACTGCCCAGGGTCACAGTGCCCAGGATCACACTGCTCCGGGGGTCGCATGGGCCAGTCCAACCAGATGGGACACAGACACAAACCAACTTCCTTCAGAATAATTGATAATTTCCTCTCTTGCTTACTCTGAACACATTTTGTGTCACAGGTTACAGACCATAACACTTTATGCACAGTCTGCGCCTGGGTATGGAAGCTCCCAAATTATACTGGAGGGCTGAGGCCCAAGGTGGGAATGACCAGCGTCCTCCAGGAGCGCCTGTCCCTGTTCTGCACACATCAGACCTGCATCACCTCCAGCATCTGAGGCTGTGGGCTGAAAAGGGCTCCAAGGTTGCCCAGGGGCATGGTACTTTGCCTCGACCTCCCTGTCTGTGAAATGGGCCATGTCCATGGAGGGGGATGCAGCCCAGCACTGCAGCCCAGCACTTCCAGGGTTTCCCTTGCCCCAGCGCCTGCTGAGAGCCTTCTCTACTCAAGCCCACTCTCCCCAGGCCGCTGGGATCCCACCAGTGCCCTGCTGGGCCAGTCTGGGCCTGTTGGTCCCCAGGAAACCGTACAACCCCCCAGGTGCTCCATGGAGGGAGCAGACTTGGTGCTTGCCTGGGCCTGTCACTCATCACACAGCCTCACCTCGGGCATCTGGAGACAAAAGCCCCGATGTTGCTTTCTTCCCACAGACGTTGGACTCTCTCCATAGACATCGGCCCTTCCCCTCCAGACCCGCCCTGGTGCCTGCCCTCACCTGCCCTGTCCTGCTGGCCCCAGGACGATGCTCACCTTCCCCTTGTGCCCCCTCACCCTGTCCTAGCCACCTATGTCTGCAGCCACCCGGCCACCCTCCTCCTTGCCCCCCTGGGCTCCTCCTGCCCCTTTAGGCTTCAGGCTCCCTTCTTAGGACAACTCAAGTGTGTCCTCCCTGGCTCCACCCACACCAATCCAGGCTTTCCAGAAGCACCTTCCCAGCCAGCTCACATCCTTCAGAGATGCCCCCACTGCAGACATGATCCAGTCCCTGTGCCCAGTGCTGCACTGCCAGACATTCCCCACCAGGGCCCTGGGCTGTCTCCACGCTGCCTCCAGGCACTCACAGCCCCGGCTACTAGAAGACCAGCCATGCCCCACCCTTCCTTTCTCCTCTGCCTTGAGGGCCCTCCTCCTTGCCCCTCCATTCTGCATGTCCAAACTCGGCCATCCTGAGCCTGGGTCTCAGCCCTGGTGCTGCCGCTGCCAGGCTGCCCTCCTCAAGGCTGGGAGGGAGCACCCTGGTCCCCAGTCCCCAGTGTTGGGCTCTATCCCCAGCAGTAAGGCAGACACCCTCCACCCCTCTTTCTGGCACAGGCTTGGGGACTCTCTGACCTTGCAGGACCTTGGCCCTCCCTGCCTCAGGTCACACACCAAGAGTGACAGAGCGTCCACAGGCATGGCCAAAGACCTCAGCCTGGAGCCACAAGGATGGCTCCCTCCTCCTCTCCTCAGAGCTCAGAACAGGCTCAGCCACACAATCCGCACCCGCTCCTGACCACGAGCTGCTGTCCCCAGAGCCAGGACACATCATTAGGATGTATGGGTCACAGTCCAGGCCTCACTGGGGTGGTTCTGAAAGGGGGACCCAGAAGCTCACACCTCACACCTCTGACTAGGGCCTAGGGAAGGTCCTCACTGCTGATCACACTCTTCTCTGTCCCTTGGGCCTGGGTGTCCATCCCCCTTGCCTCTCTCGGCTGTCCCTGTGGCCAGGCTGAGGCCAGACTGCTTAAGCCCTCCTCAGACTCTCTCTGGCACTGTTGGGAGTCATGACGGGAACCCGAAAGGACGACGCCATGTGCAGAAGAAGGTGGCCCCTTCTCTTCCTCTCACTGCGCACACCGCCTGCAGGATCGTGGCACTGCTGTGAGGGCTGGCTGTGCTTCTTTCTGTGGGAGGAGGAGCTGCCAGTGACAGGGCCCAGGGTGCTCTCCTGACATCCCAGACAGCCACGTCGCCAGAACTGTCCCTATCAGTCCTGATGGTGGCGTGAGCAACGACTGCCAGGCACAGGTGGCCAGCAGCTGGGCCTGCATTGGATCTGGTGACAGAGCTCCAGGAACTGCTGGTCGTCTGCCTACACAGGGTCACCTGCCATTCCTGCAGCCTCACCATAGTGTGACCTAGCATTCTTTATGGCAGCATTTTTTGGAGAGTGGAGTTTTACGTTGTCTTTTTTCTCTTTGAAATGAGAAAGATGATACTTGGAGAGGTTAAGCAACTCAACTTGATGGAGCCACATTCTTCTGTGGCCACCCTTGAAGATGCCAAAGGGACTTCTCATCCCTCCACAGATACCCCCAAGACAGATTCCTGTGCTTCATACACATCATATCTGAAGTGCTTCCTCGTGTCAGAGAAAAGACCAAAAGTGTATTCACAGGACCACGTCTGACTAGAAGTGATCACTCTTCATTCATTCATTCATTCATTCATTCATTCATTCATCGACAGAGAGCTCTGTATCTATGAACTCAGATACAGGACAACAACTGCTTCTGGAAAGATTGCTTTTGTCAACACTCCAACCTGCAGGGCTGACACTCGTCTGTCTCCCACGCCACACAAGTGTGTGACATCGAGTGTTCCTATGAACAGCTTGACTACTGAATTGATGGATACTGTATTTGATTTCCTGCCTCTTGGTTCACCAAGTCCAAGCCACACCAGGACACTTTCACTGGTTGTGGAAGGAATTCCCCTAATTTTCACTCCACTGACTCCTTATCAATTTTTTCTAAGTTTAAATGTCACCCGATCCCCCCAAGACCTTACCCCTCAAGAGAGTCTTCTATGGCCAACCAGGCATTTGCTGATATACCCATGACTTTTAATTCTCTGGACAGCACTGTCACCATCTGACATTCCCCAGAGAAAATGTAAGCCCTGCTATGACAAGGGGACATTCTTCTTGTGGTTCATTCTGTCTCTCCAGCATCTGATACAGAATAAATTTTTGCTGAGTTAATGAATATGAATAATCCATGAATATTTTCCTTTGCAAATTCCTTCTACTGCTTCTATGCTTACCTAGACCTCTATGCTGAAATCAAATATTTACTTGTATTTTATTGCAGTTATCATTAGTAATACCACACACACACGTACTTTCTACACTATTTGGAATTTATTTTAGTATGTTGTGAAATAAGGTGTCAGAATTGGGATCCAAAACAAAACTCCACAAGGTTGGAGGGGCTTCCAGATGGCTGACTAGAGGCATCTGGCACTCACCTCCTCCACATGGAAAAAACAAAATAGCAAGTAGATAATCTTACTTCAAATAGAGCACCTAAGAGAGAATGCTGAAGTTCAACAGAGAAATAATGGGAAACACCTGAGACACGGAAGTGGTGGGAAGGCAGCCAGCTCAGCCAGGATTGTCTGGGGACCCAGAGAGGGTCCCCAGCATGGAAAAAGGGTAAGTGAGAGGTCCCCAGTGGTCTGTATCCCACCACAGACTCCTGCAA